CACAGTATCACTAGTAGAGAAACGACCTTTGATCCGGCTCGAAATTTGGCTTTAGTCCCGGTATTTTTCGCGCCTGGGACTAGAGAGACCTTTAGTCCCGGTTTGTAACTCCAACCGGGACTAAAGGTCCCTGCCCAACGGCTACTGCGGCAGGCTTTTGCTGCAGGGGACCTTTAATCCCGATTGGAGCTACCAACTGGGACTAAAGGTTAACTTTTACTTCCAGTTGGTCCCTCCAACCGGGAGTAAAAGTCTACCCCCGGCTGGAGGCTCCGTCCGAGACTAGAAAGGGACCTTTAGTCCCGGTTTCTGTCTTCAACCGGGACTAAAGGTCCCCTCCTATATATCCCTTCTTCCTCCCCGAGCCCGAGCCACTTCGAGCTCAGTGTTCTTGCTTCATCGCTGGCCTCTCTTCTTCCTCATTGCCGGTAATCACAAGATTTCTTCGATTCCTCCATCGATTCTTTGGTTCTAAAGGTTACCAACTTTATACTCTCATGTTTCATCAGTAGCATATCTCATTTTGTGGACTAGATATATGTGGTTTTTTTATGGTGGATTTTTTTTATTTGTAAGCCATTTAAGCTCAAAATTACTTTAAAGTTTGCATATTTGGATGAAGGAAGGTTAAAGTAGTTATTCAAAACTAGTATCCAGCTTTCATTTCTAGCATGCATAGCACACTTCATGGTTTAGAGATATAGAGAATTTTAGAGTTTTTTTTTTAATTTTATTTGTTTATAAAATGAGAAATTTATATTATATTAAAAATGAGTATAGAGAGTAGATGTCAATCGCTTCTGTGTCCTCGGCCTCTCATCGGGTTCCAAAGCGACTGAGGCCGGACCTCCCTCTCATTGTATGCGGCAAGTGTGAGGAGAAGATTGTGATGGAGTACCGGGTGAGGAAGGAGTGTCCCAACAAGGACCATATCTTCTACACGTGTCCGGATCGCAATGTGAGTTATTTTGTCGCATTTGATGATTATGGTTAATTTATACTTATTTTCATGATGATTGTGATTAAAGTTCTAATTTTTTGTTTTAATATCAGTGGGATGGCACTGGATGTTTAGGCTGGTATTGGGAGGAAGAGTATGTTGAACACGTGCAAAACTCTCTTGCACAGGCGGCTACGGCGGCTGATGAGACAGCGATCCTGCGGAAGAAGCCCATAGATATTGAACAAACGCATGATCTATCTGTTTCAGTTGGGATTGGTCGCGAAATCCTTATGCTGCTGAAGTGCATTTTAGCTTTAGTTTTTTTAGTGGTAGTTGGGATTGTCTACATTGTAGCGAGACTTTCATAAATTAATACCTTGTGTGGTGGCATGCATGTCGTATAATTAACTAATTATGTTCTAGGTTTTAATATGGTATGTATGCCATGTAATGCAGATGAGCCGGCATTGGATGTACAATCTTGATCGCCGCTCCCAAGAGTTCATTGAGGCGTGCATTCTTTCTTACGTGTGGCGAGGCAAACAAACGCGATGGTTTCATGTCTTTGCCCATGTGCCATATGTAAGAATTTGAAGGAATATGCTAGCTCAAGGAGTCTTCATTCACACTTGTTGAAGTCGGGTTTCATGCCAAACTATATTTGTTGAACGAAGCACGGAGAAACCGGGGTTGTAATGGAAGAAGGTGAAGAAGAACAATGGGACGATGATGACATTATTGCTGAATATGGTGCCTTCAATGATACTGCAATGGAGGGAAGCTGAAGAAGAGGTAGTGGCAGAAGATGAGCCCGCTGATGATCTTGGTCAGGCCATTCATGGCGCACAAAGAGAATGCAAAAGTGAAAAGGAGAAGATCAAGTTCGAGCGCATGCTAGAGGATCACAAGAAATTGCTATACCCAACTTGTGATGCGGGACAGAAAAAGTTGGGTACCACACTGGAATTGCTGCAATGGAAGGCAAAGAATGGTGTATCTGACAAGGGATTTGGGGAGTTACTGAAAATCCAAATGAAGATGCTTCCGAAGGATAACGAATTGCCCGTCACTACGTACGAAGCAAAACATGTAGTCTGCCCTTTGGGATTAGAAATCTAGAAGATACATGCATGTCCTAATGACTGCATCCTCTACCGTGGCGAGGAGTACGAGAAGTTAGATGCATGCCCGGTATGTCATGCATCGCGGTATAAGATCAGGCGAGATGACCCTGGTGATGTTGAGGGCGAACGTCCCACGAAGAAAATCCCTGCCAAGATTATGGGGTATGCTCCTATAATACCACACTTGAAACGTCTGTTCAGAAACAAAGACCATGCAAAGTTATTGCGATGGCACAAAGAAGATCGTAAGGTAGACAATATGTTGAGACACCCTGCTGATGGGTCCCAGTGGAGAGCAATCGATAGAGAATTCCTAGAGTTTGCAAATGACGCAAGAAACTTAAGGTTTGCTTTAAGTACGGATGGTATGAATCCTTTCGGGGAGCAGAGCAGTAGTCATAGCACTTGGCCTGTTACTCTATATATCTACAACCTTCCTTCCTGGTTATGCATGAAGTGTAAGTTTATTATGATGCCAGTGCTCATCCAAGGCCCAAGGCAACCTGGCAACGACATCGATGTGTACCTAAGGCCACTAGTTGAAGAACTTCTACTTTTGTGGAACAGACCAGGTGTACGTGTGTGGGATGAGCACAAACAGGAGCACGGTCTTCCACGACCGTTGCCGCTCTCCCTCGTAGAATCAAAGATCCTCCTTGACGTCCGTTACCGCTCGGCAGAGAACGTGCTCGCCGAGATGAACACGGTCCGCAAGTTCAACTAGTATGGATTTTCTATAATTTTCTAACTATTTTCTAAGTTTATATTTATATATATACTACGTTTGGGTACGGTGATTGACAGACTACTGCGACGATATCAGGACATGTGAATAAATAACCATCCGTACTAGTTGACCTTGCTTACGTGATCATCTCGGCGAGCATTTCTCCACAGACGGCACCGTATTTTGACCACGGAAGAGCTCCAATTCTACGAGGGAAGGAACACGGTCTTCCACGACCGTTGCCGCTCTCCTCGTCAGAGAATCAAAGCTTCTCCTTGACGTCCGCTATCGCTTTCGGCAGAGAGAAACGTGCTCGCCGAGATGAACACGGTCCGCAAGTTCAACTAGCTACTTTAACCTTATTTCATGTAAATATGCAAGCTTGAAGTGATTTTGAGCTCAAATTGCTTACAAATGAAAAAAAACCAAAATAAAGAACCATATATATATATAGTGAACAAAATGAGATAAGACAATAGTGAAAAATGAGAGTATGAGATTGGTAACCTTTACAACTGAAGAATCGACGGAGGAATCGAAGAAATCGATGGAGGAATCGAATAATGGATGGAGGAACAATGGAGGGAGGGAGGAAGCAAGAACACTAGTGCAGTGAGCTTCAAAATATGCTGAGCTCGGGCTCGGGGAGGAAGAAGGAGACGGCCGGGATATAAAGGGGGGACCTTTAGTCCCGGCTGGTGGCTCCAACCGGGACTAAAAGTAACTTTCCAACCCCGGGCGCAGCCACGGCCCGGGAGTAGACCTTTACTCCCGGTTGGAGCCCCCAACCGGGAGTAAAAGTATACCTTTAGTCCCGGTTGGTGGCTCCAACCGGGACTAAAGGTCCCTGCCACCTCTGTCTGGCGCAGTAGCCGTTGGGGCAGGGACCTTTAGTCCCGGTTGGAGACACCAACCGGGACTAAAGGTATTTCTAATCCCGGGCGCAAAAAATTCCGGGACTAGAGCCCATTTTGGCCGAGGATCAAAGGCCTGTTCTCTACTAGTGTAGACCTGTGCAGTTTGGTGGACTTGGTATCCTGGCATTGGAAAGGTTCAGCAGAGTGCTCCTTCTGCGCTGGCTATGGATGTCCTGGAAAAATCTGGAGCGGCCATGGGCTGGTATGTCGCTGCCGGTTGACGTGACGGACATCACCCTCTTTGCAGCTGTCACAAGAGTGACGATTCATAATGGTAAAAGAGCATTCTTCCGGTTCTCTAGCTGGATCGATGGATGAGTGCCATCAACTATATACCCACTCTTGTGTCAACCACAGCAGGAGAAAAAACATAACGGTCAGGGATGCTATGCTACAAGGAAAATGGATTAGCGACATTGCGTACAATCTGAATGCAATCCTACCGCGAGAATTCTTTGGTCTGTGGCAAAGTATAGAGTCGCTACAGCTGAACCTCAGTCAAACAGACCAAGCAGATCAAATCATTTGGTCCCTTGAAAGCTCTGGGGAGTACTCTGCAAACTCAGCTTATAACATCCAATTCTCGGGACAAATTGCTTCCAACTTTCCCACACAGATCTTGAAGACATGGGCGCCGCCGCGATGTAAGTTTTTCTCGTGGATCCTATTACAGGTCAGACTATGGACTGCGGCAAGACTACAGCTACTCGGGTGGAAGAACAACTATTTCTGCGCCCTGTGTGAGAGAAGCCCGAAACCTCTCTTCACCTATTCCTCGAGTGCCCATTCACGCGAGCTGTTTGGGAGGTGGTAGCTGTTTGGAGCAACTGCCAAAACTTACAACCATCGGGATGGTCCGATCACAATCAAACAGAAGATTTGTTTATAGCTTTGACACAAAAAGGCACAAAAACAGCGCATTCACTAGCCATTCTCACACTATGGCACATCTGGAACTAGGGCTCCTCGCGCTTGTAAGCTGCAAACTCTGAAACCTTCTTATATTAATACAAAGCTGGATAACCGGATCTTAAAAAAAATCAACTGACATGACTAAAGATAGCAGTAGTTGAAAGCACAACGTCTCACGCAAACTAAGCTAGCATAGCTTAGCTACTTATTACTCCCTCTGAAAACAACAATAATAAAACAAACGGGGGCAGTTTATGACTCCAATGTACTGTCCCTTGCTTCCTCAAATATATTGATCACTGTCGGGTTTAAATCCGGCGTCACCGTCAGAACTGGATCCTGTGGAGGACAATCGGCTGCCGGGTTCTTCTGGGCATTTAACTTTTCAGATCTCTGACGAGACTCTCCAAGCATGCGCCGGCATCCTTCTTCTCCGTCCTTATCAGGTGCTCGGCAACGTCCGCAGGAGACATGTCAACCTGTTCCAGCAGCCGGTGTATCTCACCGAAGAGCTCGAAAAACTGGCGCTCGTCGATGTCCAGGTAGTTATGGGCCAGCACCTTGAACGCCTCGTAGCGACAGTAGGACATCTCGATGTGCATGTCCATCCTGCCTCGCCGGATCAGCGCTGGGTCCAGCTTGTCCTTGTAGTTGGTGGTGAAGACGAAGATGCGCTCTTCTTGGCAGCACGCCGACCATAGCCCGTCGATGAAGTTGAGCACCCCAGAAAGGGTCAGCTTGCTGTCTTCGTCGTCCTTCTCATCCTCCTTCTTCTGTAGCATGGTCTTCACGTCGCTCTGGTCGTCGGACTTCTTGTCGGCCTTCATGTCCCTGCGCTTGTTGATGAGGTCGACCGAGCAGTCAATGTCCTCGATGACGATGATGGATTTTCCTTGGTCTCGATGAGGAGCTTCCGCAGCTCCGTGTTGTTCTTCACCGCCGTGAGCTCCAAGTCGTAGATATCGTAGTTCAGGTGGTTGGCCATGGCGGCGATCATCATGGACTTCCCGGTGCCTGGCGGCCCAAACAGCAGGTATCCACGCTTCCATGCCTTGCCGACCTTGTCGTAGTAGCTCTTTCCAACCTTGAAGGCGTTGAGATCATCCTTGATCTCCTCCTTTTGGCAGGCTCCATAGCGAGCATGTCAAACTTCGCCGGTGCCGGAACTCCACGTGGCTCCAGATCGTCTTGTGTCCGCCGCCGTAGGAGCTCCAGCTGCTGCTTGGGTTGTTGGTGAAGAGGCGGCGCTGGCGGTTCCGGGCGATGGCGTCACGTCCTGGTCGATGAGATGGGGCAGGTAGCTGTCCAGGATGAGGTCGTGGAACCTTTTATGGAAGGCAACCCGGTAGAAGCGGCGCTTCTCGTCACCAGGCCGCGAGCAGATGATGTTGGACTTCGGGGACTCTGTGTCGGCGTACCACCAGAGCCTGGCACCACGGAAGGTTTCAATGATCTCCTGGTTGTCGTCAACCGACACCTGGGGCTTTTGCATGTGGCTCTCCAGCTCGGCCTTGAGCTTGCGCGCCCCAAGTTCACGGCACAAGTCCGAGAGGTAGGCCTCGACCACGACGAACAAGTCGCTGCGTTGGAAACGCTCGGCGCCGTACTCTGGGATGGTGATTTGTTTGTATGGGTTGAGGTATGCGCTGATCTTGTTGATCAACACTTTGATCCGGGATTGGTTCATTGCCATGGTGATGAGGGTAAATAAAAACGCCAGGGCTGATCCAATCCCGGCCCACAATTCCTTCGTCGCCATGGCTTATGGGCTAGCTTGGGTTGGCTAGGATGGAGACTAGGATTACCAAGGAAGCTCTTGATTGATGAGATCGAACTAAGCTAGGTAGTTCGCAGTGGCTTGGCGCTCCTGTTGTGTCGGTTTATATTTATAGAGACGATGGGAAGAGAATCTATAACTAAGACTCGGCTTTTAGCTTACTATACCTCAATCAATCTGGACCCACAGCAAACCATGACAAGTGGAGAAAAAAAAAAGACTAGACTTCTATGGGTCCTCCTAATTTCTTACTACACCCCTAAGGACAATTAGCCCTATGAACATCCCTATGAGCACCTCCGAAAATTTGAGTCCACAAATCTTAAGATTAACGAAGACACCATAAACGCTTTACTGTTGATGACAGGGCACATGTCTCTTACCACTTTAAGAATAGCGCAATTAAATTCTAAAATTAATCTAGGACAATGCGTAGGGCTGGAAATGGTCGGTGAAGATATGTTCTATACAAAAATGATACCTGTTCGGACGGAAACTCACAACATTTTTCAAATGAAGTATTCAGTGTCAACATCAATATGGTACATAGATAACTTTGAAAATCAAAATTTTAAATTGGTTAATGGTAAAAGGTGATCATAAATGATATCACTTTTTGGGAAATGATTCCTAGTAAAATGGATCTTCTATTTTGTTTGCAACTCTAATAAATGTACCCCTGTTAAATAGAGGTCATGAATCCATGTTGACAAGTTCCATCATAACACCAATAAGTAATTTTATATGCAGTCCAACGTATTCCCACAGCAATGCGTGAGCGTATGCTTCTAGTATCTTATATTTTAAAACCCCACTATAAGTTCTATGTTAACATGCAAGTCATCCACATCATTTCTCACTAAACTATGCACATTGTCTCCCACTAATACCACATCAGCCCACTAACTTTTAATCTATTAATGCAAGCCATCCACACCACCTTCACTAATTGCAGTTACAATTTATAATATACAAGGCATGTTTTTATTGTTATTTGTTTTGCCATTCCATCATCTTATAATTCGATCTAATTATTTTTTGTTTTTATTGAATTATTTCATTGTCATGTCCAATTTTAATAATAATCAATACAGGAACATGTAGAACTAATTCATACGTTGCAACGATTTTATTTTTTAGAAATTTCTGCAGCAACGGCCCGGTAGTATCATAAATAGTATTATTCTATTTAAAGTTAGTCAATTTAAAATAGTGTGACTGAGAATAACAAAAGACTTGTCATCATATTGTTGTGTGTGGAAAAAGAGGCCGGAGATTCCGTGGTACTCCATCGTGTGTGAAGCATGTGGAGAGGTACCTTGAGTGCTTAACCCATTACCCGGTGACTTGGACACCATTAAAAGGAAAATGTTCTATGCGTCAGACTCTATATGCCATCGGTTCATGGGCATTGCTGGTCCGTTCGGTTGTGCACACCTTGAAAAATTCCTAGACTTAGCCGCAAGCATTGCCTGCTTTTTGCTTTCATCACACAGACAAAACACAGAGGCATTAATTCTGTGTGAAAGGAGGAAGCTGCAGGTCCATGAGATCTTGTGCTTTAGCTAACGTTGATAGCCTGGAAGTATTCTTAAAGTGTCCACAGCCTGGAAATGATAAATGCTATTATTCATCCTTATAGGCAAAGCATGTGGGCTGGGAACCTTAAAGAACTGTGTGGTCCTTCATGCTTTGCACTTTTTAAAGAAATACTCACATTACAAGCAAGCATCACTTTGATATCTTCTCCTTGTGCCACACAAAATGCACAAAGATAGATTCTTTATAAAATGATGAGGCAGCAGAAACTATATATATTTTATATTGTCTATTGTTAGATCAGAAATAAATAACTTATGTTAGACTTAGTCCCACATCAAAAACTGATGGTGAAGAGAACTAGCACAACATATAATTTCATTACAAAAGGTTCTTTATGACAAATAGCGTTTCTACCGTGACAAAAGTTATTCATCATGTATGTTATCATCTAATAAGTGGAGCATGCTTATGGTTATAACAAACTGAGCCGGATCCATTTTGCACAGTAATAAGTGTAAAGCCCATGGTCAAAGAACCTAGAACAGCTTGGGGTCATATTGTGGTAGGGGAGCTCGTGAGTGTCTTCGAACGGTCGCATACGAGTTTTTGTCGACATGGAGAGTTGGACTCGAGGCCTTGTATAACTTCTTCTAGAGATCAAATGGGTTGTGCATGATGTGAAGAGTTGTGTTTGATGTGTGATGGGGGAGATTATTAGGTTTAGTCTGATATCGAAAATTGATGATGGGAGCATAATGTATAAGGTAGTGCAACTCTCAACTATCAGGCTAGTCTTTTGGGTTGAGTTAGGCCTAGTCTTGGTTGGTTGTGGGATATAGTAGACTTATGCCTGATGTGGTGTTGGATCATGGGTATAACAAGCTAGATCGGATCTGCTGCGCACTCTAATAAGTCTCAGAGTCACATCATAACAACAAGAGAGTGTGAACATCTCGGAGGGTCACATGGGTCGTGCGATATGGATTGTTGGACTCAAGACCTGGCATAACATCTTTCAGATATCACAGTGGTGTGTGGATGAACGAGTTAGGTTCGATTCCAAATTGAAAATTGATGGTGTGGAAGCATATAACATATAAGATGAGACAATCCTCACCTACTAGACTAGTTTTCTAAGTTGAGTTAGGCCCATGGACTTAGTTTTTTGTGGGCCTATTGTGATGTCGGCTTGTGGGTACAGCGAGCTAGGTGGGATCCACTTCACACTCTAACACCTTTAGTGCTTATAGATCATTACCTACACACATTGACATGCAGAATGTGCATTGCTTCAAATACAAAATTTGTTGTTTCGTACCAAATGTCCCTTTTATAACCAACCTCCAAGGATTTCTTAGACATGGAGCCCTGCCAAATATGGTGAAACTAAACTCTAAATTTGTCTATGGTATTATGAAGCATAATCTAAATGACCCCATAAATTTGCATCAAAACTGCTACCCTGCCATTACGATAGACATCCAAGCAACCTCTCAAATATATCCAAATTACCAACTTCTACTGGTGGTAATTTTAGCATTTATAAATTAATTTTGGTGGATGTTGTGGCATGCTGATTTAGACAACTAAATAGATGTTAGTGGATGATGTGTCTGGTTGGCGTGTATATTATAATTGTATGTGCTAGTGGGGGTGTAATTGTATGTGATAGTGGACTGCTCCGCTTGCAAGTGGAGATAGAATGCTAGTGGGGTTTAGAATTATAAGACACTAGAAGAATACCCCACGCGTTGCTGCGGGAATTGCAGATTAGTGGATTGCGTGACACGTTGACATGGACAATAAAATACTTGTGTGTCTTGCTGACATGGATATTACAATTACATGGCTAGTGAATTTTAATTGTGTGTGATAGTGCATTGCCTAGTTGGATAGCTTGCATGATGAAAGAGATAGGTGACTTCTTGACGTGGATATTACAATTGCATGGGCTAGTGAATTTTAAGTGTGTGTGTGATAGTGCATTGTCTAGTTGGACAACTTGCATGTTGAGAGAAATAAGTAGTGGGATTTTGCTTTATAAGAGTATAAGATTTAGGTTTAGGATTATAAGATAGACTACTACAATAAACTTAACCGAGGCGGGTGTTTTTCATTATCCGAGGCGCACAAAGGCAACCGCCTCCATCACAAGGTCACGATTAATCCATGAATAACGGAGGCGGTTGCCTTGCCCGTCTCGGTTAATCGATTAACCAAGGTGGGCTGCTTACAACACCCGCCTCTGTAAATCGATAAAAAAAATAAAAAAAAACCCAAGCCCACCGGCGAGCTCGTTCCTGAACCCACTTGCTAGATCCGGTGAAGCAGGATGCCGTCGCCGCCTCCACGCCGGCCTCCTCCTCGCCTCCTTGCCGGATACACTGGCCCCTGCCCCCCTGCTCTGGATCCGCCGGCCCCTGCCCCCCTACTCTGGATCTGCCAACCTCCTCCTCTCCTCGCCGGATCCGCTAACCCCCTGCTCCAGATCCGCCCGCTGCTCGCCTATAGGAGAAGAGGGAGAGGGAGGGGTACTGCTCGTCGGCTGTAGATCTAAAAAGAGAGAGGGAAGAGTGAGGAGACGAAGAGGGGAAGAGAGAGGGAGATGGGGAGAGCTAACCTATCGCGCGCCGTCAAGCCCCGTGCCACAGTCGACGTTGAGCCCCGCGCCATCGTCGGGTCCAGATCTAGAGACAGAGGACGCCGCCGTCGCCTCCATGTGCTGCCTAGCCCGGTGCCACCACGAGCCTCGTGATCGCCCAGCCCCACGCCCCCGCGTGGCCCTGCGCTGCCACGCCGCCTGGCTGCACGCCACTGCCTGCCTCTGCCACCGAAGAGAGGGAGGGAGATGGAGAGGAGAGAGGGAGGGAGGAGCCGCTGAGGGAGAGGGAGTGGGAGGGGCGCCGTGGGGGAGTGGGAGGGGGCGGTGGGATGGGGAGACCGTGAGGGAGGGGAGAGGAGGCCGAGCGCTCTTTTCTGGTGGTTGTGGGGTGAGGGAGAGAGTTGAGTGTTTTAGGGTTTGTGTTTTCTTTTATATGCTGGAGGTGGTAGTGGGTGGGTGTGGGCTGAGCGCCTGGGCCTGATTTACTGAGGCGGGCCTTTAAGAGTGCCCGCCTCAATAAATGGATTAACGGAGGCGGATAGTGTAAAATGCCCGCCTTGGTTAATATCGATTAACCGAGACAGTTGTTTCTAGGGGACCTCCTCAGTTAATCGAGTAACCGAGGCAGTTGCTTTAAGAAGACCGCCTCGGTTAATGCTTATCAACCGAGGCGGTTATGTTACAACGCCCGCCTCGATTAAGTATTAACCGAGGCGGTTGCTGACCCGGCTGCCCTGCCTCGAATAACTGAGGCGGGCAACCAGGCAGCCCACCTAGAAGGCCATTTTAGAAACACTACGCAAAAGATTTTGTGTAGTAGTGATATGAAGATATAGAT